GAGTGTTCAGATTCGTTCTGGTTCCGTCCCACGGAGATAGCTTCTTCCCCAGGTGTTGGGGTTAGAGGCATCCCTGTTCCAAGCTGCGCCTGCTTGTCTCCATCCCTGGGCCTGTCTACCTCTGCGGTCCGTGGCAGGGCCTGTATGTCCCTGTCAGCTGCCGCTGGGTCTGTCTGCCTCTGTGGGCCGTGCCGGGCCTGTATGTTCCTGTCAGCCACCGCCACCGGGTCCGTCTACCTCTGCAGGCCGCAGCCACAGGCCTACCTGCGTCTGCTTGTCTCCGCCGCTGGGCCTGTCTACCTCTGTGGGCTGCTGCTGGACCTGAATGTCTCTGCCCGCTGCCGCCGGGCCTGAATATAATTTCTTATTTTTAAAATTTATTTGTATGAGTGTTTTGCATGCATGTATGTATTTGCATCATTTGCAGGCCTGGTGCCCATGGAGATCAAAAGAGGTCATCAAACACCTTGGAAATGGACAGTTGTGAGCCACCATGTGGGTGCAGGCAATGTAACCTAGGTCCTGTGAAAAAGCAACAAGTGCTTTTAACCACTGAGCCATGTTTCCAGCTTCAAAACTCCCATTTTAAGGGCATATGCTCCAAGACCTAAGAACATCCTGCTAGGCACCATCCCTCAAACTACTTCCTCCTCCTCTTCTTCCTCCTCCTCCTTCTCCTTTTATTTTATTTTCTTTTTTTGATATGGGATCTCACTGTGTAGCCCAGGCTTGCCCAGAACTCATAGAAGTCCACCTGTCTTTGCCTTCTGAGTACTGGGATTAAAGGCATCCCACCACACCCAGCATTCAAAGGTTTTTTTTTTTATTTAGTTCCCAACAACATTATCAACTTTTAACAAATAGGTTTTTGGGGAACAGTGGAATTCAGGATCCACACTATAGACTCATGTTTTTATTTTTCTGCTGAAGTATATGTTCAAATAATTGTCCTTTTAAAAACAAGATTTTTTAGTTTCTTATTGATATTTGAGAATCCTTAAAAAATATGCTAGGTATATGTCTTAGTTAAGGTTTCTATTGCTGTGAAGAGACATCATGACCACAACAACTCTTATAAAGGAAACATTTAATTGGGGTGGCTTGCTTACAATTCAGAGGTTCAGTCCACTGTCATCGTGATTGGAGCATGATTGGATGGTGGCATGTAGGCAGACAGTCTGTGGAGAAGTAGCTGAGAGTTCTACATCTTGCAGGCAACAAGAAGTGTTCTGTCTAACTGGGCATGGCTTGAGCATATATGAACCCTCAAAGCCTGCCTCCACCGTGACACATTTCCTCCAGCAAGGTCACACTCACTCTCCAACAAAGCCACACCTCCTAACAGTATCACTCCCTTTGGCCATTTTTTTTCAAACCACCACAATCTACTCCCTGGACCCCAAGCCTTGTAGCCATACCCTAGTGCAAATATGCATTCAGTTTAGCTTCAAAAGTCCCCATAGTCATCAGTAACAGTCTCATACTTGTTTTAAAGTCCAAAGTCTCTTCTGAGACTCATGGCAACCTAACTGTAATCCCCCTCTAAAATCAAAATAAAAAAGCAGACCTCATACTTCCAACATATAATAGCACAGGATATACATTACCATTCCAAAAAATAGGGAAGGGAGCATAGTGAGGAAATGCTTGACCAAAGAAAGGCTAAAAACCAGCTGGGTACCTGCAAACTGCATTTCCATGTCTGATGTCAAAACACTTGACTGCAGCACACTTCTTTTTGGGGGGCTGGTTCCAATCCCTGTTAGCAGCTTTTCTTGGCAGGTATCCCACAACTCTGCCATCTCTAACATCTTGGGGTCTCCAAGGTAATCCAGGCTTCAACTTCACAGCTTCACAAAATGGCCTGTCTAGGCCTCAATTCAGGGACACTCCTGATACATGCCAAACCTCAGCAGCTTTTCTCGGCTGCAGAGGCAAATTCTATAACCAGTTTCTTCTTTCCTTACCTCTAAAGCCAGAACCATGTGGCCATAGCTGTCAAGTTCTGCTGCTTGCTGGGGCTGGAAGATGACCCCCTCTTTCAATTATAGCTCACCAGATTTCTATTTTTGATTTTTACCCTTACTGCCTAAGCTTGGCTGTCTTTGAACTTGCTCTGTAGATCAGGCTCGTCTCAAACTCAAGAGATCTCCCAGCCTCAGTCTTCCCAGTGATGAGATCAAAGGTGTGCAACACCACACCTGGCTCTAAGCTTTTTAAATTTCTTTCCACAAGTTGGAAACTTAGCTGGGTAGGATCTTGCTCTGAGGTTACCACTCCCATTATTCCATTTCTTAATCTGTTTATCTCCTTGAACACAGGATTTAGCTTTATTCCACTTCTTGATGCCCCTTTTCTCAATCTATACATTTTGTATTTTCATTTGCTCAGCTTGCTCTTTTTCATTATAAATCCTCATCAGAATTAACATTAATGATCACATGACAGAGTCTATACTAGGCTGTTTTGAGATTTCTTCTGCCAACGGAATTAATCCAAAAGTTTTCACTTTAGTCTCAGGTAGACTTTTGGCTACTTGGCAAAAGTAGCCAAACTCTTCACCAAAATATCACCAGAACAATATATAGGCAACATACTAAAATTCTTCTCCTTTGAAACCACTTGGGTGAGCTCCCAACAGCTCAAATAATTCTTAGCATCACTCTCCTACATGCTCCTACTAATATGGCCTGTTAAGCAGTGCTTAAAGCATTCCACTGCTTTCCTAACTCAAAGTACCAAAGTCCAAATTCCTCCAAACAAAACTATAGTTAGGCCTATTCTAGAAATACTCCAGTCCCTGGTACCAACTTTTCCCTTAGTTAGGGTTCCTATTGCTGTGAAGAGATATCATGACCACAGCAACTGTTATAAAGGGAACATTTAATTGGGGTAGCTCACTTATAGTTCAGAGGTTCAGTCCATTATCATCATGCTGGGACATGGTGGCATTCTGGCAGATACAGTGGAGAAGTAGCTAAGAGTCCTACATCTTGCAGGCAACAGGAAGTATTCTATCTCACTGGGCATGGCTTGGGCATATAAGAGCCCTCAAAGCCTGCCTCCACAGTGACACATTTCCTCCAACAAGGCCACACCTACTCCAATATAGCCACACCTCCTAATAGTGCCACTCCTTTTGGAGGCCATTTTCTTTCAAACCACCACAATATAAATTCTCTGTCAAATACCTGTTTTACAAAAACTATGTCAGCATGTACTGGCAAGAGAGGAAAATAGTGATGGCATTAGATTCTGAGAGTGTTCAATGACAGGTACCAGAATATATAAAAAGAAATAAGAAAAACTAGGTCAGGGAAAAGTTCAAAAAATAACAACTTTTTTCTTTTTTCTTTTCTTTTTTTTTTTTTTTTTTTTGTTTTGTTTTGAGACAGGGGCTTATTGTATAGTCCAGGCTGTCACCAAATCTTCCTGCTTTAGCCTCTTGATTGCTGGGATTCCATGTGTTATGTGACCATACAGGTGAGGGAAAATTAAATAAACTTACCATGATGGATTCTGGGAATATCTCAAAACATGGTATGTATCCAGTAGCAGGATGGTTCCACGTGATTGTCCAATGCAAATGAGCATGTTAGCAAAAGAGATAAAAAACATAGCATAGTTCAGACCAAATGGGGCTATTCAATTACTTAGTGATGATTTGGATTGTGTTTTGAAGGTCACTCACAGGCCTCTAGTTGATAACCTGGTCTCCAGCTGCTGGCATTGTTTTGGGAGCAGAGGAAATGTTTGGACACAGGGCACAGATGGTGGACACAGTATCAGGTTATAGATAGACCGCACTTGTGGTTAACTTTCTGTTACACATCTGTTGATAGGACCAGCTGCTTTATTCTCCAGCCAACATGGAGAGGAGCTCATTTCACTACCATGTTTTTCCTAACATGCTCGACTACTCTAGGGAGCTGTGAGCCCCAGGAAGTTTTTCTTCCTTTCTTTATGTCAGCTATCCGGTCACAGTGATGAGAAAACATAGCTGAGGCAAGCAGTTATGTATGCTTAGAACAGAGAAGAACCAGATGATTGTGAGCTACCACACGGGTGCTGAAATTCAACCCACACCCTCCGCAAGAGCAACAAGTGCTCTAAGGCACTGAACCATCACTCCAGCCCCAAGACTCCTTAAGCTTCTCTTCCTACTAAGTGCCCATGACTCTTGGGGCTCTGAGACCTCTTCTCATTCATGGTAATCTTATTTTGCTTAGTGAGAGGTGATTATAAAACAAGGGAATGCTCCTGAACTTAAACTCTACAGTTCCTGAGGGGCTGGCCATTTCTGAGTAGTTCGCCCTGTTCCTCCTCCATGCCCAAATGAACCCATAGCACTGTCCTCCCTCACAAACCTCTGCCATGTGTGCCAGGCCTGATACCTGGGTGTAGCCATCACTTTCTGGATCCTGGGGACAAGTTCACCAGAAGCACACAGAACCAGAAGCACACAGAACCAGAAGCACACAGAAGCATATCCTTTGGAGTTCTGTTCACTGCATGTTTGAAACTAACACCCGGCTCAACCACTATATTCTTTGAGTACTCCATGATGGAGTCATCGTCCCCTCTTATTAGGTACCACAAACCATTTGGCCTTCTTTAAAAAACCAAAATGACTTCTTCTTTTTTATTTCCTACAAGGCTCTGAAAACATCCACTGATTAGTCTCTCTATGTCTAACTCCCGCGGTGTAATGGTACCCTCATTGTACCACTATTCTATCTAGAACCTGGCCCTACAAAATGAACTCTAGACCATATGAGCTGAATAAGGAAGAAAACCCATCGCACAGAAAATTGATTATCATTTTATATTTTCCAAAACAATCTAAAAAAAAAAGAAAACCATGTAAGTGCTAAAGTAATTTTCTATGTATTAAAAATAAGAAAATGGAAATTGGAACTACTGATTAACAGCAACTAGAATTATAATAGTATAACTCAATAGCATTGTGCCTAATGTGCATTTATAAAATATAAATATATTGTATGGACATGTTTAGTAGAACTAGGAAATAGATATAATTATCATTTGTTCACTATCTAGACTTTCCCTTCTGAGCTGATACTTATAGTTGATGGGTTTGCAGTCTCTCTTTAAGGTATCTACAGAATGCTCTCCATAGGTGGATGTTATGCATTTGGAATATAAATGCTACAAAAATTAATCCCCCTAGAACTACAGATGTTGCAACAGCAATTAGCATATGTCCTGGAAAAGGCAACGGTACTTCATCGACATAAATCTGAAAAGAAAAAGCAAAGTGGTTACATTTTCTGGATGCGGTAATGTAAAAATACTGCTCATTGTGATACCACAATAAACCACACAGAAGAATTCTACCCAGAATTCTGTGAACATTCAGCATCCTCTACCACCCACACTCTCATTCTTGGCCACAGTCTGTCCAAGCCGGACTTGGCACACAAATTCTACCCATGTTTTCATCCTGATCCATAACTTGGATTGACAAATGCTGTGCCATTTTCCCAGTCATTATCCCATTCCATACTTTATGCATTTACTGTACCTGAAATTCTTCTTCTAAGTTACAAAAGCTGACCCCAGGCACCACAGACACCTTGAAGTGAAACAGCTCAGAGCCCTGTGGAACAAACACAGATGGTCATTATCAATGTGTGTGTTCCTTAAACAAAAATATCAAAGGGAGCCACATTAATAGATGTCATTTATAAGGAGTGTCAAGGATTCTGACATGAACATCATGTCAAAAATGAAGAGGTATTAAAACAGGAACTCAATGACATAGTTTTATTTTCAGAATGAAACTAAAACATAAAACAATTTGGCTTTCATGAACACTTTGAGTTAGCCTTCATATATGTGGTTTTAACATATCTCTGCATTTTCACTGTTTTTCACACTTACCTGTGCTTTAGGTATCCCTGTGACCCCAACTTTTGGAAACAACTTTTCTGCTTCCCTTTAGCCAATTGATCTGACCTATCTCTTAGAAAATAGTCAATTAATGTTCTGTTCAGCATTCAGATTCCTTTAGAAATAAGACAACCAGGGAATAAAAAAAGAAACCCTTTTTATATATCTAAAGCTGCTCTTCCCACCAATCACCAACATCTAAACGCCAAGTCTTCCTTTAGCATACATGTTTAACTCTAAACTCTACATGGTAAAAATGAAAATCTGTCAACTCACCCTTATACTTATGTTGAGACCTAAAGGATTATACACTGAAGTGTTAAGCAGTGGCTCTAAAAAATCCTTCATTTTCTTAACGTTTTCTGGCATATTGTGTTCTGAAATATATGAAATACATTTAAAGCACACTTACATTTTCATATTTTACCTAAAAGTTGTTATAGATAGTAAAGAACAATGAAATTTTCTCTTGTGTAATATGGTGATATTTTATTTGTGCTGAAATGTGATTTTATTTGTATGTTAAATAATAAAGTTGCCTGGGGGTCAGAGCTAACAGCAAGCCATTTAGCAGAAGTCTGGCAGTGGTAGCATATACCCTTAATCTGATCACATGGCAGGCAGAGTCTGTGTATTCAAGGACATAGCCTGTTTGGTGACATATGCCTTCAATCCAAGAACCAACCATAGAGACCTGTATGTCTGTATAGACAGGCAGTGAAGAAGTCATGTGGTTGGGTTTAGAACCAATGAGAAGGCCGAACAGAAAGTCAATAAAAAATAAAGACACACAGGAAGTAGCTCTCTTTTCTCATGGGAAGGACGGCAGCGGCTGGTAAGCTTAAGGCTATTTGCTAGTGCTCTGACCTCTTGGGCTTTTAACTCATTTGGCTCTGTGATTCTTATTTAATAAGACTTTTTATTATTAAATAAGACTTATTTAATAAGACTGTTTAGAATTACATCTACAGTGTCACATTGCAAAGGTAATTCATACTCTTAATTTTGGCTGACTTTGTAAGGACCTTTAGAGTTGCATTTTACTAAAGAATGCTTAAGCAGAAGAGTTAAGAGAGGAAAAGAGACACTCAGAGGAAAGCAAACTGTATACCCCAGATCATGGGTATGGACATCTCAAAGAGTTAGAGAAAATAAGATACACTCAAGTGTGGGTATGGGCTCCAGGGAGAATTTCCTATTTTCATTTTTAAAAAGTGTCTGGTACTTAGAGGCTGGAGAGATGGTTGAGTGGTTAAGAGCATGGGCTGCTCTTGTAGAGGACCTGGGTTTGATTCCCAGCAGCCATGTAGCAACTCACAATCATCTGTGACTCCAGTTCTAGATGGCTTCTTCTGGCCTCTGAGTGTACCAGGCATGCAAGTGATGCACAGACATGTAGCAAAAACACCCATATTCAAAAAAACATAATAAAGTTTCTAATACTGGGTATTGAACCCCAGTGCCTTGTTCACACTAGAAAGCACTCTACCACCAAACTTTATCCTCACTTCTCTTCAGGGAGATTAGACTGACTGCCTCCCATTGCTCCAGTGCCCTCCTCAAGAAGGAGAGAGTGTCTGACTACCTAGCTGTATTCTGAGTTCCTTCTAGCCTCTGACTCATGAGAAACCAATCCTGACATGTCATGGTTTGTGTTTTTCATAGTGGTAGGCAAATGACTTTCCTAAGATGGCGGTGGAGCTGCACCATAGGATCGCGTGAGGGTTCTCCAGGAGAAGTAAGCAGCTCTTCCCACCCACCTTGTCATTCTTTCTAAACAAGTGAACTGATGTATGTGTTATAAATTCTCGTGGTATAATGGTGAGAGGAGCTAACATGAATAACTCAAGCCCTGACTCTCTCCTTAGCTTATTTCCATTGGGAATATTCTCACCATGGCTAACTTAATCGTTTCAGAGTCAGCTTGTAAAATGCTTCCAAATTTAAAAGTCAATGCTCCAAACCTGGTAAGAGCCACCAGGATACCACAGAAACTATAAATATTAATCAAGGAATATGGGAGTTTTACTTTCTTTCTTGGAGTTTTCACTTCAAGAAGGTATTAAATTTGCAGACTAACACTTCTGAAGAGAATGGAGAAAGAGTGGATGGTGGGGGAAGAGGGGATCATGTGAGGAGTGACTGAGAGGAGAGGAGGGATGGGAAACTGTGATCAGGCTAGGGAAAAGAGAAAAACATTAAAGAGAAAAAGAACAAAAATTAAATCTATCAGAGTAAGACTCAATGACTACCAAATGTCTGCAAACTCAGTAATACAGTGATGATTAATCAAAATTCCAATTAACTTCATCTACCCACTTCACCAGACCTATCTGCCACCTCCCTGTCTTACTGTGGGACAACAATGGGGATTGAACCTAAGGCTGCAAACATTCTAGGCAAGCATTCTACCACTGAGCTATAGGCCCAGCCCTTACATATCTTTCTGTCTGTGTGCCAGTCTGTCTATCTATCTATCTATCTATCTATCTATCTATCTATCTATCTATCTATCTATCTATCATCACCTGAAAATATTCACACATGAATAAGCACAAAATATATAACTAAATGTTGTATTTTGAGGTAAAACTGAATTTAAGTAAATTTCCTTTTGTATTGTAAAATATGTCTGTCTCTTTTTAGCTCTTTACCATAAAAGCCAAACTTTCTTTGTTTTCTTTCTTCTTTTTGGGACACTGTCTCATATAGCCCAGGCTGGTCCCATGTCCCTATAGAACTGAAACTGTCCTTGAATGCCTGCCTCTACCTACCAGGTACTGGGATTACCACTGCATAGTACCACATGCAGCTAAAAAACATTGTCACCAAACTTCCCTTACATAATTAGAAACACATTTTACAGAGTATCTGGCAACACCTAGAACATTTATATAACTTTTATCATAGTGAATAATAAAGTCACTTAACTGGTACATAGCACAAACTTCATCATTGTTGCTACTAATCCACAACAGGACTTTCAGGTTAATTTTGTGATACAATTTATTTGCTAGAGATTTATTTGTTTCTTAAAATTTATTTAATTTTATTTTATATGCATTTGTCTTAAGGATTCAAATACCCTGGAACTGGTTTTATAGACAGTTGTGTGTTGCCATGTGGGTGCTGGGAATTGAACCCAGGTCCTCTGGAAACACAGCCAATGCTCTTAACCACTGAGCTATCTCTCCCATCCTAGAGATTTATTTGTAATTATGTTTGTATGTGGGTATGTACAGGCCCCTGCAGACACTAGGCATAGGGTGCCCTGGAACTGGAGTTACAGTTATGTGAATTGCTTGACATGGGTCCTCTGCAAGAGCATTATACTCTTCTAAGCACTGAGTAATCTCTTCAGGCCTGCAGTTCAAATAAAAAAATCTGGCCTTATACCACTGAATCTAGGATACTGGAAATGATGAGAACATAAAAGGAGATGACAAAGGTAAATGTCAACATGCCAATGATTCAAATCCTTTTCTACAAAAGTCCTGGCTATTTTTCCTGTGAACAGTCTTTGTAATCCACTCATTTAAAAACACACTAATGATATAATGGCTTGTGAGATAAGCATAGGAGACAGAAAACCATACTTAGTTGCCAGTTTTGCCTCATATTCACTTCAGTCATGGTAACCAAATATGGAGGCTTCACCGCGAATTTTTCTTTTTCAGTGAAAATTTCCAAAGCAACTGGGTATTGTATGACTGGAAACTTGAAACGATGAACCTAAAATATAAATTCCATGAATGCATATAAGTCTGGAAAACTCAATACTATTATTCCTCATCAAGTAATGAATGGCATTTTCACAAAATCTTGGCTATTCTAAAAGGAGTGCTTCTTAGTGTCTCTGCCTTTCAGACATGAAAACAGTCTACGACAACACAATCCATACATTCCAAGGCAGCAAACATGGTAATGAGATTCACAACTTTTAGAAACAATGTTTATAAAGTTAGCATACAAAGTGATAGGTGTCATTATGGAATTTCCATATATATATTTATCATGGAATAAATAAAGTCATTATACTTTAGGTGTTTGTTTTTCTTCACTCCTCTTGCAGGTCCCCTTCTTCTTTCCAGACAGACTTCTCTTCTGCTTTTTCTTTATTTTTCCAGACAGGGTTTGTCTGTGTAGCCTTGGCTGTCCTGGAACTCATTCTGTAGACCAGGCTGGCCTCAAACTCACAGATATAAACCTGCCTCTTCCTTTAGAGCACTAGGATTAAAGGTGTGTGCCACCACCACCTGACTTCTCTTTTGCTTTTAGGTCACATAAATTCTCTTAAACATCCCATTTAAGATCTCTTCCTCCTCTTGCGTGGTCTCTATTCTACTTTCTATTCTTCCAATATAAATTTAAGTGTGGAGCCTTTGTATGAGGAAAAACATAGCACTTCTCTTCTAAGTGGGACTTACTTTACTTAACATAATGATTTCCAGTACTATCCATCTTCCTGCAAATGTCATGATTTAATGTTTCTTTATAACTGAAAAACATACTTGTACAACTTTGTAGCTGGAAGGTTTCTCTGGTCCTGCCTGGTCTGCGGTTCCACAGCCACTTAATAAAGTTATTACTCAGAGGCTTAACATTAATTAACTGCTAGCTAGGTCTTATATATTAAATTAACTCATTTCTACTAATCTATGTTTTGCCACATGTTCTGTGGCTTTACTGCTCTGCTGGCATCTTGCTCCTTGGGTGGCTGGTTAGCATGTCCCCTTTCCATCTTTGTCTTCCTGTCTCTCTCCTTGGTTTTCCCACCTGCCTCTAAGCTGCCTTGTCATAGGCCAAAACAGCTTTATTTATTAGCCAATAGGAGCGACACATATTCACAGCATTCAGAAAGACATCCCATTGCACAACATATTGTTTATCCATGTGTCGATTGTTTCATTTCTTAGTTATTGTGAATATTGCAGCAATAAACATGCTTGTGAATGCATCTCTGGTGGTATAGTGACTAAGTTCTTTGGGTTTATATCCTGGTGTGGTAGATCTAGGTCATACGGTTCTTAGCAATTACATTAGGTTAAATTAATTGATTACTATTATTATTAATTGTGCGTGTATGCATGTGTGTGCAAGTGCCCAAGTGCTCAAATGTCACAGAATGCATGTGAAGGTCAGAGGATAACTTGGAGAAGCAAATCTTTCTTTCTACCTGGTGGATCCCACAGACTGAACTCAGCTTGTCAGCCTTGGTGACAAACTCAACAGATGCCCCTGTGCACTGAGCCACCTCATTAGTATTGATTTTAATATAAACTGAGATGAGGCATTATGATCTCTTCATCGATGCTCTTTATGCTTAAGCTGCCTGTGGCTATTCGAGAGTGTTAGAGCATATCTATGGAATTTTGGAGTGGTTCCTACTTCTGTAAAGAATGTCATTGAATTCTGATGGGGATTACATTGAATTTGTAGATTGCTTTGGGTAAGCGCCACTTCACAACATGAATCACATCAGTTCATGAGCATGGGAGACACTTCCATCTTCTGGTGTCTTCTTCAGTTTCAGTCTTCATTGTCTTATAAGTTTTTAATTAAGAGCTCTTTTATTTTTTAGGTTAAGTATCCTTCCTTCCTTCCTTCCTTCCTTCCTTCCTTCCTTCCTTCCTTCCTTCCTTCCTTCCTTCCTTCCTTCCTTCCATTCTTCCTCTATCTCTCCCTCTTTCCATCCCTTCCCTCTTCTCTTTGTTTCTTCAGATACTATAAATAGGACTTTTTTTCTCAGAAAGCTTATTATTGGTATAATAAGCCAGAACTGTGCAGTAAAAGCTTATCTCAAACAAAACAAAACATCTTTGTGTGTTCATATGTATGTGTTTGTGTATTGGTGCACTTGTGTGCAGGTGTCTCTGTGTGGATGGCAGGAGTCAAGGTCCAGTGTTATCCACAAGCACTTCTTATATTATTTTTGGAAGAAAGGTCTCTGATTGAACCTGGGCCTCAGTGATTTGGTTAGACTAGCTGGCCAGTGAGGCTCTGGGAGCCTCCTGTGTCTGTCTTGACAGGTGAGTGCCCTCATGCCTAGGACTTTTTTAAGTGGGTGCTTGCAAGGAAAAGTTTATTGATTTAGCCACCTCCTAGACCATCCCCCATTATATTCATTTATTTGAGACAGGTTCTCTCTATGTAATTCTATATGGCCTGGGACTTGTTACATAGACCACACTGGCCGCAGACTCTCAGAAATATGCCTGCCTCTGCCTCCCAAGTGCAGAGATTAAAAGCATGTACCAAGAAACCCAATACTTTGTACATGTTAAACAGGCACTCTACCATTGAGCTAAATCTCAATCTTCCTCACCTTCTTTAAAGATACAAACCGTGCAGTGGTAGCTCATGCCTTGAATCCCAGCACATGGGAGGCAGAGGCAGGGGGATCTTTGTGAGTTTGAGGTCAGCCTGATTACAGAGAGTGAGATCCAGGAAAGGCGCAAAGCTACACAGAGAAACCCTGTCCCCCCAAAAAAGATACAAATAGTCTTATATAGACAAGGCTAGCCTTGAACTTGCTATGTAGCCAAGGCTGGCCTTGAACTCTTGATCCTCCTTTTTCCATTTTCCTAGAGCTGAGTGTACAGGCATCAGTTACCAATGACTGGATTTGATCAGCTGTCACTTGAGGGTTCAATTTCCCATACCACTTTTAGATGAGACTTCTGTCCCCTCCCTCCCTGCTGAGAAGCCATAGTTGGAGCTGCATGTGACTTGGCTTCTTTATATTGTATCTCTCACTCATCTTTTTCTCGGTAGTTTTCAGGTGTGCTTTGTGAATTTTCAGAACTTTTTTTGTTTTTCTCTTTGTCTAGTATTTAGTCTTAGTCTAGTATTTCTCTTGCTGACTCTTCCACTTAACTAGGCCACACAGAGGTATTTTCTAGTCTTTCATCTCATGTAGAAATTCCCCAAAAAACTTTTTTCAAAGGGAGATCTTTTAAGACAGGGTCTTGCAATGTAGTCTATGCTGGACTGTAACTCACTAGTTAGCCTATGCAGGCCTTGAACTTATAGCAATATCCCTTCTCAGATTCCCAGGTGCTGAGATTACAGATGTGTGCCATCATATATGTTGAAACTCATAACTTTTTGTTTTCCTTTTTCACAATGATTACTATGAAGAAACTTGAACTATTTTGGCTAAATCATATCTTATACAGCCCTCAATCAATGGAGTCTTTCCTGTCTCTTTTATACCTTACCCCATGTCTCTGCTTGTCACACTCTCTCACACATACTTGGTAACTCAGGCTCTGGATTCAGCATTCAAATCCAGCTTTGGTGCCTGTTAACAGTATGGTTTGCCTGAAGAATGTATAAGGAAAATGTAGTACATTTACACAATGGAGTATTACTCAGATGTAAAAAACAATAACCTGACCCATCTCTGCCCCAGTTGCCAGCCAGCAGGGAAAACTCCTGTGGCCAGACCCTCCACCGAAACCCCCTAGTGGACTCTTCCAGCTACAAGACCCACACCCTAACCCAACACCCATCTGCCTGCTACCTAGTAACTTCCTGAGATAAGGAATCCACCAGCTCTCATTGGACCAAGAGGTGAGTGACTCTTCTACCCAAAGAGTCCTGCCTCTAGGACCCAGGCCCTGGGACACAGCCAGTCCTCAGGAATCCCCAACTATCTCTGCCTGAGTTGTCAGCCAGCAGGGAAGATTACTGCAGGGAGACTTCCCCACAAAAATCCCCCATTGAACCAAGCAATCTACAAGACCTATGCCCTACTTCAATACACATCCTCCTGAGACACCAGTGGCTTCTTGAGACAGAGAATCTGTCAGTTCTCATTGAACAAAGAGAGGCTTCCTGAGATACAGATCCACCAGCTCTAACTGGACCAAGAGCCTTGATAAGACCAAGAGCAGCTCCCTGAGTCAAAGAATCAGCTAGCTTGGATTGGACCAAGAGCAGCTCTCTGAGATACAGAATCTGCCAGCTCCAATTAGACTAAGAGCTAAGATTGGTCCCATAGGGGCCCCCTGAGACACAGACACAGCAAGCACAGAGTGGACCAATAGCAGCTCACTAAGACACAAGCACCTCTTACACCTATTAGAGGAAGAGATGGGTAGATGTCAGTGCAAAAATACATACAACAACATAAAGAACAATATGGCATCACCAGAACCTAGCCCTCCTACAATAGCAAGACCTGAATATCACAATGTAGAAAAGGAGAAGAAAGTGACCTTAAAAATAACTTCATGGAGATGCTAGAGGCCTTTAAAACAGAAATGAAAAATTCCCTTAAAGAAATTAAAGAAAAGAAAAACAAAAAATTGGAAGAAATCAATAAAGAAACTGAGGAAAAGATGAATAACAAATTGGAAGAAATCAATAAATCCCATAAAGAAAGCAAAGAAAACCATGAAAAACCAATTAAACATGTGAAGAAAACAGTAAGAACTGAAAAGTGAAATAGAAACAATGAAGAAGACACAAACAGAGGGAATTCTGGAAATAGAAAATCTGAGTAAATGACCAGGAAACACAGATGCAAACATCAGCAACAGAATACAAGCGTTGGAAGAAAGAATCTCTGGTGTAGAGGATACAATAGAGAAAATAGATTTGTCAGTCAAAGAAAACACCGGAGCCAAAAAAGTCATAACACAAAATGTCCAGGAAATCTGGGACACCATGAAAAGGCCAAACCTAAGAATAATATGGATAGAAGTAGGAGAAGAATATCTACTCAAATGC